GCGCGTGTGTGCGTGTGGTGTGCGCGCACGCGTGTGTGTGTGTGTGCACGCGCGCGTGTGTGCGTGTGTGTGTGTGCACGCGTGTGTGTGCGCGTGTGTGTGTGTGTGTGTGTGTGTGTGTGTGTGTGTGTGTGTGTGTGTGTCTGTTTGTGTGTGTGTGGGCTGTGTTTGAGAGAGAGCGTGTGTGTGTGTGTGTGTGTGTGTGTGTGTGTGTGTGTGTGTGTGTGTGTGTGTGTGTGTGTGTGTGTGTGTGTGTGTGTGAGAGATCGCAAGGGTCACAATTTGATCAGACCACATGTTGGGGAGGCTATGGCAATGTCTGCAGAGGACGGCATTACACTTTTATGTTCATAGTTTGTGTATGTGTGTACGTGGGTTTTGATAACCCTGATTTCCATTATTATCGACCCGGCTCTTTATTTTTATAGTTAGAGTTGTTTGCCCCTTCCCGCGCAGGTAGTGCTGCTCTCTGATACAATCCACTAAGAAAAGAGCTGAGTGAACAATTAACACACATCGTTTCACTTAATAGTCTGTAATGCGACATTGTTAACACACTTCACACCCATTCATATTTCCGGCTAGTAGTTTTGAATACCAGAAGGAGTCAAATCTGTCGAAATGACAGCAGATCATTCTGTAAATGGGCTTATGAGTAGATCTGAGTACATAGAAAATGTTTTAATATTCAATGATATTGCTGATTCCGGTCGCATCTTAGTCAACAGCCACATGTCAGCCTCTATTGTTAATACAGGATTTACTGAGTATTATACAGATTGTCCTTCTTTATGGCATGGGTAACATACATGAATGACCTGCTACATGAAGCTCCTCTTGTCTATTATTGTGTCGCCATGTTCCACTCGTTTGTAATGCTGGGTGAAGACAGTACAGTCAGCTACAATGACAGCCAATAACTGCCAAGAGGCTTGTATCAACCTTTTGATTATACATTATTTCATTTTAGTCTTGAATTCTAAACGATGTTGGCGGTCCTCAGTGGATTGTATTGGAGAACAGCACTCCTTAAATAGTGAAGCTTGAGGTTCAATCATTTCGGTTATAAATGAATATGGAAAATAAGACTGAAAACATTTTTGAACTATCCTTCAGGTAGAATACAGCCATTTCCACTGTTTGCGTTAGTCAGCTTGCAGCAATTCCCCCCTGGCAGGGTGCTGAGTGTCCTGCAGAGTGTGACCGTGGGCCGGCTGCAGGGCCAAACAGGATGCACATAATGAGAAACATCCATTCACAAGGAGGTTCAGGAAAGAATCAGCCATCCCATTTCCAGTATTGGTGTAGCCCTATTTAATACCAGAGGTGGAAAGTAACAAAGTTATTTTGATTAAGTGTTTACACTGCTTCATTTATGGTTTTCCATTTGTTGGACTACTTTCTTTTATATCATAACATAATTACGTTTGTTATATTAATACCTTCATTTGTCTGTTTCACATTTGACTTTACAGAATAGCTTAATAAATGCAAATGAGAAAATTACCTTTTTAATGTATTAGTACATTTGTCAGCTCCAATTCAAAACACTTTTTAACAGATTACAATTTTTATTATTCAAAGATTATACAAACAGTTGAATTCAGATTGCCGTTTTTCTCTTACTGTGACATGGATCTAGCATGATATCCTTTTAGTTGATGTATCCTATTTAGAGTGCAACACCGGCAGTAAACTGTACAGGTAGACCAGCTACAACACAATACAAATATCATTTTAAAATCTTAAATCACTTCTTTAAAAAAAAAAAAAACTGCACACGAAGTAAACGTTTAGAAGCATTCATGCACCAAAAGGGCCAGGACCCCTCTGTTTCCGGGCTTTTATTTTGAAACACCGGCAGGAACTTGAATTGACGCATTGTAATTGGAAATAGTGAGCAGTAAAAGTAAAAAGCAGATTGGTTTGTAAGACATGACGTTTGTTAACTGATTAGTGCTGAGGAAATGTAAATAATGAGTGTCCCGTGAGACATTATAACTAACTTTTTATTAGTTATATTCCATTGTTGCATGGACCATATAATTTGACTAAAGTACTTTTTCCACTTCTTGAATATGATCTAACTCAAAGTAAATGTGAGCCCCTATTTAATAGTATAAAAGGAGCACATTAGAGTGGGAGCTAAGTGTTTGTCTGCCTCTTCTTCAGCCTCTCTGTCTCTTCTGCCTCTGTTTGTCTCCATTCTGTTTCAGCCTCATTTCACTTGTGTCCCACTGCTCTCATCACTCCTTCTCTCTCCTGTGCCACTAGATCCTCTATGGTTTGACTGAACCATCCTAAACATACATGCATGTCATATATGTGAATTATGAACATATATATCTGCAGATAATGGATGTATGTTTCTGTTTGTATAGTAACATAATGACTTGTTGTGATGTTATTTTGCATGGTTAGTGTTGATTTCCATGCTAAGAGCGTGGGCAGTAATCAAGGGCAAGTAGGGAATTCATTTAATGTTAAACATTACGTTCTTTACTTTTTACATTACAAAGGGGAACATTTTTTTTAGAATATATTTGAATGATAGCCTGCCTTAGATGTTACCATCCAATAATGTGAGCTAATGACAAATACAGAATGTGTTCCAGCATGATGTCTGCCAGCATTAGGCTTCCCTCTGTGTTGTCAGTTTGCTGGTTCTGTGTCTGACCGCTCCCCCCACCTGCAGGGCGTCCCTGTGGAGCTCCTGTGTGGTCCTGCCCCTCCTGGCCCTCACCTGGATGTCGGCCGTCCTGGCCATCACCGACCGGCGCTCCGCACTCTTCCAGATCCTCTTCGCTGTCTTTGATTCGCTGGAAGGCTTCGTCATAGTGATGGTGCACTGCATCCTGCGCAGAGAGGTATCGCACCACCAAATGTTCCTACACTTATTTCTTTCCTGGTTTTGTTTGAGGCAGAGGTAGAATAAGTACTCTTAGAGGCCATATTATGCTTCTTGGGGTTTTCCCTTCACTGCAGTGTGTTATAAAGGTTTGGGGACATGAATGAATGTGAAGGCTTTTAATGTTAAACACTGTTGCATTGATTTCATTGTCACTATAGCCAGAGGTTAAATTGGGATTTGATGTGGGGGCCACCACATGAGAAAGTGAGAACATAAAAATAGAAAATATTAAAAACTGGAATACATTTACATCTTAAATTATTAATATATGCATACATTTTTTTCACAAATATCCAACCTTCAAACTGCCATTTTAAATCAACATTGCTCTGCACACTTACGAACAGTAGAAAGCCACTACTTGAGTAATAATATTATCCTATCCTTAAAACCCTGCTTTGGTTTGCTCTGGCGTACTAGAATAGCTTCAAATATGTGTGTGGAAATCTCAGTTCATTTGTAGGGCTGCGCAATCATGGCCAACTGTATGCTGTAAATCTCACTGTAAACGTTCTAATCATCACCACGTTCAGTGTTATTATGACTGATCATAACTCAGCTTTATGCACGCACATACGTTTAGCATGGTTTGAGAAACGGGCTCCGTGTTACAAGACGGCGGGGGGGGCAGCAGTGTAAACCTCACGATCGGAGCAGAGACACACGCTCACTAAGCCGACAAACTATAGCCGGTCGCAGACATCTGCTATTCAACAGTAAAGTTAACATGGGGTGAAGAAGGGCATGTATTATGACATCACTTGAAAACATTCGGCAACGTCTCATTCGGCTAGAGACGTTGAGCCTCTTCTATAAAAGGCCGCTTCCAAAGTATTTGCTGGGATGTGAGGTATGTAAATATCCTGCCAAAACTAACAATAGAGTCTGTGCTTCATTCCAGGTTCAGGAGGCAGTGAAGTGCCGGGTGGTGGACCGCCAGGAGGAGGCTAACGGAGACTCAGGAGGATCCTTCCAGAACGGCCATGCTCAGCTCATGGTACGGACCACGAATGTGTTTGTTGTTTGCACCTCTCAGGATTTATTATTCAATATTGGCAGTGTGCACACTTAATTCACTATTTCTTGTTGTGTGTCCACAGACTGACTTTGAGAAAGATGTGGATATTGCTTGCAGATCAGGTAAGCTCCAGTGTGTGTGTGTGTGTGTGTGTGTTTGTGTGTGTGTGTGTGTGTGTGTGTGTGTGTGTGTGTGTGTGTGTGTGTGTGTGTGTGTGTGTGTGTGTGTGTGTGTGTGTGTGTGTGTGTGTGTGTGTGTGTGCATGTTTGACTTTGGGGGCTGTTCAGAAGCTACAGATGTCTCTTTGTGCCTCCTCTCTGTCTTCTGACTGCTTCACATTCCTCTGCGTTGTCGGAACAGATGTGCAGTGTGTTCCCCCTCCGTTCTGAACTCGTGTCTTACAATCAACATCACAGCCTCCCTACGCCGAGGAGCTGTTGTAAAAAGAAATACGGAACATTAATGCTGCAAAAGGCAGTTTAGCCCGGCTGATGGGAGTGGGATGAGCGCGTGCTGAGCAGTTATATGAGCAGTTATATGCAGATAAATAGGGCTGTCTCAGTGCCGCTGTATAATTAAGTCCCTCCCGACAGAGCCGCATCAGATAGCGGCTCGGCTCTGATATCCGCTGGGAGTGAAAATCTGATTATCTCTTGAGACAGGATATCAAGGAAAGCATCTGGAGCAGAAAAGCTATTGAGACACAGACATGCCTGATGGAGAGGAGAGTGAAAAGAACAGAGACATTACTGTTTCTTCTTCTATGTCAAGTAGGAAGGGGGGGTCACAGAGAGCGGATATTTATTGTTGTTGAGGATAAAGCCTCCATGTTGTTTACCAGCACGGACGTGCTAAGGGACATGCTACCATGAGCCAGCAGCTGTTACAGTGAGATGAGATCAGGTCACAGGGTCAGCCATTATGGTTAGGGTTAGGTTTGATCATCCAACATCAACAGACAAATATCCAGAGAAAAATACATGAAACACAAACAACAAACATTTAACATAATAGCACAATTTATCGGATGATATCAATGTTATTGTATTATTGCTTTAGATGACCTGTCTATTACAGGGTGTATCAATACTGCTTTTTTACCCAGGTCTAGTAGGGGGTTGCTTCTGTAACTGTCAAACATAAGGTTGGATTATTGAAGAGGAAAGGCAGGCAACAGCTGTCGGGCCCAAGAAGCCATGTCAACAGATACCTTTACACACTGAATTTTATGAAATACATTTCTATTGAAATTGTTTCCTTGACAACATGTGATATTGATGCATAAAGTGCAAAGGGGCCTCCAAGCAGGAACATCTGGTCCTGGTTCAACTCTGTGTTTCTGTTGCCTTCAGGCACCACGAAGCGCTCATCTCTCCAGGGGGAGGAGAAGGCCTCCTCCGGGACCCTCACCCATCAGAAGGGGTCTAACTTTAACACCCTGCCTGCCAGCATGGCCAAAGTGCACCTCCAGAATGTGGCCGACTACACCAGCCACACTCTGACGCTGCGCAGGGACAAGGGGCCCGCCAAGGGGATCAGCACCGAGCTTCCGGGAGCCAAGTCCATCTACATCTGTGACGGAGAGCTCTTCAAGCAGCTGGACGGAGAGATGCCGCGAGGGACCGGGGAGGGCAGCAGCTCCGAGGGTCCGGGCAAAGGCCCCGGGTACGTGCATCTGCCGGGAAACAACACCGGCACCCTGAAGCTGGCCAAGGGGAAAGAGGAGGCCAAGTATAACCTCGGCATGGAGCAACTGCCTCAGACCCGGCTCATCCACATGGCTAACCCCGTCAACGGGGAGCCCATGCCTGGCTTCGGGCTGAAGAGCCTGCCTGCCGACCAGATCAGTGTGTCGTGTTCTGACAGAGACTCACCTGCACACAACCTGCAGAATATGCCCAGAGACTCGCAGGGAGCCAACAGCTTGTGTGAGGGGGGGGAGTCTGGACACTGCGCTGTGATGTCCAAGAGCGAAACCGTGTCCACACTGTCCATGAGCTCACTGGAGGTAAGAGCACTCCACTGATCAGCATATCTTTATCAAAGTAATGCATTTTCAGCCTCACATTTCATACTTTCATTAATGTTCTGCTAAACCATACATTCTCAAGAATCAAGCCTTTTTTAAATGGTTTATATTCAAGATAACCACAGCGTTTAAATACTGCTTCATTTTAAGATAAATAACTTTTACATCATTTACATAACATGTGTCTTAATTTCCACTCTCAGGGTCATAACAGTTCAACTGTTGATAAGCATCAACTGCTGTTTCTTTTCCCATCCATATATCAATGTGAACGATGCCACATATCATGCCAGCTTACTGTTTTATGTAGGTTTATTATTTTGCATGGACTGCTGTCATTTATACAGTAAACGTCAGTCACAAGTTTGCCATTTATTTATATTGTATTTATATTTGCCATAGGCTGTTTGAGCAACACAGCATTAGCACACCATCCATCCTAGGGAAATTATTCATTAACTAACTTGCTAGGGAGCCTCACAATAACAAACTGGATTTGAATGATTATAAATAAATAATAGGATCATTACTTAAAACTCCACAGGGCAGCACTGTGCTACATTTCTTGTATGCTTAGATTTTCCCATCTCCGCAAAGAAATAAGGCAACACATGTACTTCATTCAAAACAAGGAAGTATTGCAGTGTCAGGGTATGCTCTGTAAAGAGATGGCTTTCACTCCGCCTGTACTCAGACAGTAGCGTGAGGATGAGCCGGCAGTGATCGGCACTCAGCGGCCGACATCTGCCTGCTGGTGTCTTTTCACTTCCGGGCAAAACACACTTCCGCCGAGTGAGGCGGCAGCTGCAGCAACCGGGCAGCCTGAAGGTCAGCCTGAAGGTCAGCTTTTCCTTCACCACTCCGTGATGGAGGACTTAAAGGTCGTTCGGTCACAATCTGTTAGTTGCAAACTTGTGCCAGCAGGGTCAGAAGGACCAACAGCAGACCTTGTTTCCCACCCTCATGACTCACTGCTCTCCCTGGGTCTCAGCAAAACACCCTCTCTTCACTGGCTGATATGGAGATGCACTGTGAAACAGTTAGGAAACACTCGAGCGTTTGTCTCTTCACGAGGCACACAATATCAAGACACATCTTTAATCTCTCTGTCTCATCTCCCCCCAGAGACGAAAATCACGCTATGCAGAGCTTGACTTTGAGGTAATTTTAGTCTCTTTGATTCCTACAGAGCTTTTTAGATTTATCCCAAAAAGCTTTTCAGACCTCTAGATGCTTGCATACATTTATCAGATTTTGTCAAAGCTTGAGTATGATACAAACACATTAAATGTGAAGGGGGCAAAGTAGAATTGATGCTGTTTACCTTAACGTGCAATATCCCTGTGTAGAAGATTATGCACACCCGGAAACGCCACCAGGACATGTTTCAGGACCTGAACAGGAAGATTCACAGTGCAGACAAGGATAGAGAATCTCCACCTGTTGATGCCAAAGCTGCCAAAAGATGGAGTGTGTCCTCTGCCAGCAGCGACAAGACCAACATGAGTGTAAAGAGTTTCACTTTATTCTGTTCTGCCCCCCCTCTTCCTATATCAAGTGTTGTCCTCCTTTTCCTCTTATCATTAGCTCAAATCACCACACTTGAGTGGAGTTTCCTGTTTAATTATTAGTGCAGCCATTTCAAAGATTGCATTTTTTATCTGCCAACAATGTCTGCGCCAGAAAAATGAGCTGAGGGGGCATCAAGGGAACTAATTGTGGGTGAGCATACAAACCACAACAGTCATTGTCACTCCAAATGTGACTAATGTTTCAGAGTATTTCCAAATTGCACAATTTGTTAGAGCTTGTTTCAAAGCCTCACAAAAGACAGACTTATAATTATATAGATGAGCTGCCAGCGTGGGCTCTAGATAAGTACAGACTAAAGTTTTCCTACCCAGCACAAGACATATTATTTTGGATTTGGTATATTCTCGACAAACGATATTTATTCAGAAATGTCCCTTCTCCTTTCTTTTATTGCACACAATCTGCATCTATGCATGTCGTGTGTTTCTAGTATCCAGTGGGAATAGCAGAACAGACAGGACTGATTCCACTACAGGATTATGTCAGTTTAAATTACCTCAATTTACTTTTGGTACGGGGAATAGCTGCAAATATTTGAATAATAATCTCAATGATTACCACAGCCAGATGGAGATGGAGCCAGCCAAGCAAATCATAATTAAAGATACATCTCTTCTAAGTTAAGATCATCATGCCCATGCAAGTCTTCAGTTCAGTCAAATGAATAAACACAACTATTCCTCCTTACATTTCCGGTAAGTTAATAATGTGCTGCTGAGATTCAAGACATCAGTGAAGGGTTAAAAAAAGTAGGTTAGGATCGAATTGGTTTAGTTACAAACAGCAGGCACAAAAGGAATCCATGTTGGCTTTCTAGCTGCATCCATTCCATGGCAGCATATTATTTCCATTTCCTTCCGCTGCAACAGCCCCTGATCTCCATTTGTTTCACAGCTTTGGACTCTTCTCTGGCATAGGTCCGAGTCCAACTTCACAGATCAACGGTGCCGCTAATAGTTTTCAGAACACAGATATATATGTTAAAGTCCTGCAGCATCACACAGTGTTAACTTCCTTTCAGAAACAACAACATGTTGAGCTCTGCAGGAACAACATGTGTTGCCCCAGCCACAATCACTGTTGCATCCCGGTCCTAGTAAATCAAGCAAGTTACGTGTATATACTAACTTTGGATTGAACCAGCAACATCCATTGTTGGTAACAAAAGAATAGTTTAAAATGTATGAGATTAAATGTATGGGAGTAATTGTAATGTGTATTTGCTTTCTTGCTGAGAGTCAAATGAGAACTCTGTATGTTTCTTATGGATGGAACTTAAGCTAGGAGGTGGTTAGCCTAGCTTAGCATAAAGACTGAAACAACAGGTAATGAGTCTATGCTGAGTCTATGTGGTGACTCTTGGAAAAAAGTGATATTTTCCAGTGTTACCAGACACTTTTTTAAATTTCAAACCAGCCTGTTTCTTCCTGTTTCCAGTATTTATGTAAAGCTAAGCTAAGCTAAAAACAATAGCTCCAGCTCCATACATCACACAATGAGAGTGGTGCTGATCTTCTCATTTAACTCCAAGCAACTGATAAGCTTGTTCTTTTTTAACTGTCAAACTTTTCCTAAAATACATTTAATAAATTGCCACAAGGGCGTGAAGTTAAGTAGCTCCACCAAAAGAACTCACATTACAGCTTATTTGAGATGTTCTTTATCTCTGAGGAATAAATCCTTTGTCCTCCTCCCATTAGGACAAGCAGCAGACCCCCAGTAAAAGGGCGTGGGAGGGCATCAGGAAGACCCACTCTCCCCCCTCCTGGGTGAGGAAGGACCTGGAGACGGTGGCCGCCTCCCCACTGGAGCTGCAAGCTGTGGAGTGGGAGAAGACCAGCGCCACAATCCCCCTGGTGGGCCAGGAGATCATGGACCTTCAGACGGAGGTGTGACCACCGCGGCCTCACACCCACCACTTCCTGTTTTCCCAATGCGCTCAGACAAAACAAGCCGACACACCACACACACACTGCCCTGCTCAGTATTTCTAATCAAAGGCTGCTCGAGCCAACTGCGAGGATGTAAGGGGGAGGAGTGCGGGGAGGAGAGAGAGGCGTCGCGATATCAGAAAATAAATTCAACCCACTAAAGAGAGGACAGGATAATGACCTCTCTTTCTGTGTTGTCTCATTTGATGTTTGATGTCTGCTCATCTTGTAAATGGTCTCAGAAACCACAGACATGCAGACAGATTACCCAGGTCAGTTACTATATGAGCATCATATGTTATAAACCACATAGCAAAGGCAACGTTTACCCCTGTATCAAATGAATTTTATAATCATGGTTATGTCTTTTTTTCGTTTGAGAGTGTCGTTGCATCACTGTTCTGCTCTCTCTCTCATGATGAACGCTGTCAGGCTCCAGATGCCTCCGGACTGATTGTTTCGATCTCAAAAGGAACAAACAAGGCAGACTGCCAGATATTCAGCCATGTGGCCCTTAATGCAGTCGTCGCCCCCGCCCCACACACACACACACACACACACACACACACACACAAAACTCTCCCCAATCCTTATGGCTCCAACACTTTTCCCTCCTGATGGGACCAGTTCTGCGTTGCAGAGACAAGCAAAAGGAAAAGGAGGTAAAAAAATAAATACAAATGGAAGACGTTTCCCTGATCAAAATGGAACGTTGCCTTCTCATCGATGGACACCTTAGAGAGCAGTTCAGCGCTCTAATTGGTCCTCAACCTCACAGCGACATCATGGACGCCATCAGTGTGCCCAATAGGACCCGCTCACTACAGACACAAGCTGTTTGACTCTCTCCGTGTACAAGCAGGCTTGGTACAGTCCATGCAACATATGACGGTTTCAAAGATGCGAAGGTACTCGTGTGTGTCAAGTAGTGGAAGATGAGTAAATGACTAAATCTATAAATATATATGGTATGATTAAAGGCGAGGATGTATATGAGGCAGAGGTCATCAGAGGTTGCCCACAGAAAGCACAAGGCTCACTTGGAGTCCTGATGTACAGCATTGTAATTATTACAACAGAGTTCTACAGAATGGATTTTAGCCTATAAATATCTTTCTTACTGTGCTTGGGGATAGTTGTTATCATTATTATAAATATGAACTTGATTATTCTGATACTGATCCTCCCATCCCCTTCTCGTCCTGTCAGGGTACTGGACTATACGAGTGTTCTGTATCACAATGTAACAGTGTGTGTTTTGATATTACCGCCAGTCACTCCCTCAGATCTGTATTTGTCGAAACCCTGACCTCCGACCTCTGACCCAATGATCTGCGCCCCAACCTGCCCCCCCTCCTCCCCTCACTGCCCTTCTTAATTTACTGGGGTCGCCTCTTTGTTAATGTACAGTTTTCAGAGCACAACATGAATGTGTCTTATTTCTAATAAAAGCATATCTATATAATAAAACAGCAGCCGTCCTCTCGTTTTCTCACATGTATTACAGATGATGCATCACGGTACGCACAGCCTGATGTTAGAGGAAGTGTACTAGGTATTACTGTATAACAGCGTCACAGGAGCATAAGAAGAGAAGAATCTTACAGCAGGATGTACGTTTGCAATTAGAATGCTATACAGTCACATTTCAAACCTACAAAAGATTAACCTTGACCTTAAAAACGAACATGTACAACCCAGATTACTAAATGGTCCCAACAGTTTGATTCTATTAGTTTAAACATTTCTTGAATATGTAACATACCATAAATAGAGACATTCGCTAGCAGACATAACATTACACTACAAAAGGAACTCTGAGAAGTTTAGGCTTTTTCCTAGCTGTATGTGCGAGAGAGATTAAGACGCATTAAATGACTACTTATTGTGAAAGATACTATATTTAGTAAGCTTCAGAGGACCGCAGTGTCGGTCCGAGCGCTGACCTTGGACCATGATATCGATAACATCACTATCTTCTTTAGGTATGTTATTTTGAAAGATGATAAAACATAACAATAAAATACAAATCACAATATAAATGTATGTGCAAAATAATAAATAAGGTTCAAATTAAGACTTGTAAAAGAAAAAGATAGCTCATTAAGTAATGATTAAATGAAGATATACCATTAGAAAAATGTAGACATTGCAAAGGGGGACAACAAAAAGGCCATAGACTACTAATAAAGATGTAGGCAGCCATAACTAGTCAGATAAATAAATGCTAAATAATATATCACTGACAAACTACGTTGTATGCTTTATAAAAGCAAATGACCTCAGGCACATTACCTACAAGAACCAATACATTCTTATTTGCACCTGCTTTGATTATCTTTGTAAAGCAAAGAGTAGTCATTGTAAATGTAAGGTCTTCAGGGGATTTGTTTTTATGAAGAAGGTGATAGATCACTCACTGGTAGTGACATTCAGTACCTTTAACTGCACCAAAAATATTCAATAATAAATAATTTGACAGCTTTAGATAAGTGGACAATAAATTGACACACTGAAATGATCTTTGCTGAGATGTGTTGTCTAATGACAATACATGGTCATTTGATGAATGTGTTGTTGTTCTTAAGAGTAAATTATGGTTGATTTAGAGTCAAATATATATTCTGTAATGACTATAATGTCTCAATAGAGCGGTGCAGGGATGACGTATTTGTGTAGGCTGACCTACAGTAGGAGTTACAAGGGGTCCAATGAATATATTTTCCATTGGTATTCCTATGACAAATAATAATAATAATAATAAATGGGATTTATATAGCGCTTCTAAATAGAAGCTTCAAACATTCATGAGTACTTAAGTATTTCTTAATTACTTTCCTAATTACTTTAACTTGTCTTAAACACAGATTCAGTTTCAGGCAGCTTCCGAAAAAACACAATAAATGATTTATACTGGATGGCTGAAGATGTTGTTTTAAGTGTTTATCTTTCACCCACCATCCATTCATGACTGAGTGTGAGAACACTGTTTGACCTTTGTTGCAGATTCCCAGCACTTTGCTTGGAACGCTGACGCCTGTCATGAAGGCTGTGCGAACACACCCACATTCTCTCTGCACTAATGAACTCCTGACGCTGTATTAAGTGTTTGATCTTCGATGACTTCACTTGATTTTTCTTTCTTCAGAGGCTCATTTTCGGCCGCAGTGCCCTCAGTGGTGCGGTGATGTAGCATGAGGAAACAGTGGCCTGTAACATCATTAGTTTCCATCCAGACACATTAACCTCACGTCGTTAATCAGCCCATCAGCACACATTAGCCTCCACTGTGCTGTCCTACACAGGCTGACACTGGCCATTAATGCACTCTGATAACGCTTCCTGACACTTGTCGCTGATCTCTTCATGTTTCTGTGGCTGGAGGAAGAGCAGGATGATGATAAAGACGCTGCTACCATCCAACATTTAAATTAACTTTACACGGAACAACAGGGTTGATTCCGTGTCACTGTGGAGTGGACCCACTGACTAAACAGAAAGTACTTTTCATGTCAGGTAGGCTGAACTACATGGAGCTTCCAGGCTCTGACCATGATGCATGAGCAAGGGAAAAGCAGGACACAAACAGAAACAAAGGCGAGGATTAAGTGCATGTGTGCAGGAGGGGGGGGGTTTATGGGAAACAGTGGCCGTTTCTCAATCGCAAGTGAAACTGCTGCAGAGCAACTATTTCAAGTATACTACGTCATCGAGTGGCGCCGAAGGACTGTTTAAATGTATGTTAAATGCATATACTGGTTAAATGCCCAGCATTCTGCGCCACTCTATGAAATAGTATACTTGAAATAGTTGCTCTGCAGCATATGTACTCGCGATTGAGAAACGGCCAGAGCCCTGTACGACGAAGCCAGTTCAACAGACCCTGGATATGTTTGAGTTATCTGGCTTAACTAACCCTAACAAACACAATCTCGCTAAACGGTCCTACAACACTGGTTATTTCTTATTTCTTTATTAGGATCCCCATTATCACTAGCATGAGCATTGGCTATTCTTCCTGGGGTCCTCACACACACACACACACACAACACTTACATCAACACACATACAACAAAACAAAACAGCTCATCATTTCATGGAATTTTACAGTGTTGTATGAAATGAAAACTAAAATGGTCATCCAATTATTGCCATCCTAAGGCCAAACAAAAGTAAATACAAATAAGTGTACATAATAATATATACATACATAGCCACAGGCACAGTTCAAAGGTACTTTATAATACTTAAATACTTTTTTAGCAACCTTTTGAAATGTACTTGAGAATGTTCCTGAATGATATGGACGGGTAAAGAGTTCCAGCTGATCATGGCTCTGTACATGACTGTTTTCT